ACCGTAATTGGGTAAGTGAACCGGTGTGGGAAGGGAGAATGAATGGCGAAATAAAATAGGAATATAATGAAATGATATTTGATGAAAGCGTAAATAATTGATTTAAGACTGAAATGGGAAGAAATAAATGAAGATGCAAGTAAGTGATAAATTTTTGAATGGACAAAACGAGTACTTGAGATACATGCGAGTGCTTTTATGGAAAATCCTAACATCCATTTAGATTCAAAAAAATTCTGTGAAAATTGGCAAGCATCGATTTTCTCGATGCAACGGATGTTCGCCGGAAATACGGATGTAAACTAATAAAAGTGTCAGTTGTCGTCGTGGAGACACACAAGAGCAGTTGCAAACTTACACTCACACCCTAGTACTTTTCGAGAGAAGAGCTCTGGAACTTTGCAAGAAGCTAGCGAAATCGGACAACTGCCATATAATTGAGCTTTGTTTTTTAGTGAGCAGAGTATCCTAGTACTGACTGGTAGACAATTAGCAATTAGTAAAAGTGACGGAAGTTAGGCATAAACAGGAACAGTTGTCTTGTATGCCAAATGATTGATGAGCGCAATATTCAAACTGTGCCACAAGCTAAGTGATCCAGAAATTATCATTTCAATTTGTTCAGCTAAAAACTTTAAACAAAATTCTTACATGATTGAGTGATAATTTTTTTCTTGCTCACTATTAGGTATAACGATACTTGCTAGATATAAACAGCTTAGCTCCCACATATGTTTGATGATTTATGGTACTATGAAAAAGGTTCATGATCCAATATTAACTGCCCAACCCTCATCAAAGGTTCTTCTTTTATGCAGTTCTCTCCTTCTCATATCAAAAATAGCATCGATGAAACTAAATGAAGACTACATTACGTATTACAATTTCTGCCCATACTCTTCACCCATCACTGACTGTCATGTCTATGACCATTCAACATACAAAATACATTTTCTGATCCAAAGCGCACTCTTTTTCATTATAGTCCAATAGAAGGCTTATTTGGAGCGTATTTTTGCGATAGGTTTCCAAATTTTCAATCGCTGCCAGCAGCTTTTCATAATTTACGCTTCATAATGTACAACATTACGCCAACGTCAATGTGATACGATAATGTGACGCTTATGCTCGAGCCAAGAACTTCTGAAAATTTTTTGTGGATATTAGCTATTCTGATTTTATCAAGTTAAACTACAAGTGGATAGTTAGTGGACACTTACTATGTAAAGACTGCTGCCTGACTTCCATCGTTTACAAAATTCAAAAAAACAAACTTAAGGGCAGAGTTCAGGAAAAGTCGGGGTTCGGAATATCAAGTTACTCAACTATTAGGTTGGTGCAAAAGTTCTTTCCGCCCAAATTCAAAAATTCATAACTTGTTGAATTTTCAACGAATCTGCAAGATCTAAATTTAGCTTAAGAGAGAAACTCATGCTCTTTGCATCTGTACCTGAAAGATAGAAGCTCAAAACCAAAATACTCAAAATTTGAATTTTTCGTGTAGGGTCATAAAAACTCGGAAATCTGCAACAAAAATCGGAGCAGTCAGGATTGTAGGTTCTTTCACCAGCTCTTTCTGTCGGTGCAAAGTTTGCGCTGATTGAGCGTCTCTATAAAAAGTTATGATTTCCCTGAAAAATGCCAAAATAAATCAGATTCGCCCTTTTGTATTGCTTGCTCGAAAATCATAACTTTTCATAGAGGGGCTCAATCAGCATAAACTTTGCACCGTTAAAAAGAGCTTGTGAAAGAACCTACAATCCTGACTGCTCCGATTTTTGTTGCAGATTTCCGAGTTTTTATGACCCTACAAGAAAATTTCAAATTTCTAGTGATTCTGGTTTTGAGCTTCTATCTCCTTAATTTGTAAACATTAACGAACAATTCAGGTACAGATGCAAAGAGCATGAGTTTCTCTCTTAAGCAAAATTTAGATCTTGCAGTTTCGTTGAGAATTCAACAAGTTATGAATTTTTGTATTTGGGCAGAAAGAACTTTTGCACCAACCTAATAGTATTCTGATTATATGTAGTACAGTTCCAACTGAGCGAATGTTCGATTGAGAGAAAACATCGACCCTACTTGTATACCGCCGAATTCACTGGGAAGAAAGCATGGAAACACTGTTGAAGCCATCTTCGGAAGAAAAACGATGCAAAGCATCGCGTCGGGCTCGTGCTGGTAGAGTTGGTGTATGATTTTAGAAGAGCTCCCAACAAGCCGCTTTTGATCTGAGCTGAGTTTTTAGACCCGCACTCAGATCTTGCGCGGCAGAAAACCTGTGAAAAACGCAAAAAAAAACCTGAAAGTATGCATAAGCAAGTTTACAAGTGCAAGACGGGTGGTCCAAATGTTCTCGTTTGCAGTACTACGTCTAGGCTAGATGGACACAAACGGATACCTAAGTGAAACCTCTCTATAGTCCAATCCACCAAATTTCTTCATAATGATTATATCAAAGGGAACTTATATTAGAAGCAATAATACGGTCAACCTGGTATTATATCGTGTTAGATGGCGCAATTCAGTCTTCGAGATTCTTTCAACTACCACGAGTGAGTATGTTGTACGGACTGTGTGGGATATTCAGTCTGAAACTCTAGTGCGTAAATGATTATAGGGCGGGCATACAGAACGACTGGTGCGCACAGTAGCGATTCTTTACGCGCAAGAACTGTTGGAACCGCAGAGGCACTATTGAATCGCCAAGTGTGCTGGACGGCTCAGTAAAGATTACAGATCTGGACTGAACCATAACTTATGAACTAGAAATCTATATGATTGAAAAGGAGAATGACATGCGTCTGTAAAACGTCGAACATTCAACAAAAAAGCATTGATAAGGATTCCTGTAAAATGAAGCTCTTTGTCCACCACGAAAACTGGAACTTGGCATTGAATACCGAGCAAAAACCAAGGGTACTCGACACATGTGGCATACAGCTGCAGATAGGTGCCTCATATCAAACCTGGACCAGTAATTCTAGTCTCAATCACCTGCTTCTAATGCTGTAATAGTGTAAAGAAGGAGAAAGAGTATGCGCAAGGCAGAGATAACATTACCTAGAAGCAGTAAAACGAAATGGGCACATGAAATGGCTAAGTAAGATGGATCATAAAGTAGTTGAAATCTTGCGTTTAACGCTTTGAAGCTGCTTCTGCTGGTTTCAAGATTGTAAAGCTCAAACAATGCAAGGAATTAATGGATTGAACAAGTGTTAGTTAGAGCGATTCTGATGAAAAATTCAGCAGATTTTTTTCAATGTCTGTGCTCCAGTGATCGTTGATGGCGCGCATATGGTAAACGATCTGATCTGGCTTCATAAATAACATCCCTTATTAGGCTCTCGCATTACGGTAAGTATACGGTAGAGTTGATACAGTTGATACGGGACCTAATGCAGAGATATCTTGGTTACAACCGGGAGGCAGCAAAACTCGCATTATATACGGATGTACGGGAGCGAAACGACATATAACACAACAACATCTAACCAAAAAATTTGAAATTTTTCTCTACACCGTTCTTAGGAAAGTAACCTAATGAATAAAGCGGAAAATAAAAGAAATAAGTTTTCCCTTTCCTGCTTTGTAGCAGAAACATGAAATGAGTTGTAGATCAGATTAGAGAATCAATCTGTAAAACAAATTAATCATTAAAAAATTGTAGAAGAAAGCAATACTAGATTGCAGTAAAATTGAAAATGCAGGGTGTCAAGTGTAAAGTTTACAAAATTTACCGTAATCCATTACTTCTAATAAACGAGAAAGCATGTGTAAAACTCTAAAGACTCAAGTTACCAAACTGAGTAGAGCATCCGAAACTCAGCGATGAACAAAGCGAGAGCAACACAAAGTGAAATCGAAACCGAGCCGTAAATTTTCCTCCGTCTTTATAAGAACCCGAAGCAGCTGTTCAACACTCAAAACATGTCATTCCTCTAGAGCCTTTTTTCGGCTCTCGTGGTTAAAATCGAAGCTCCAGAAGAGCAAATGTTCAGATTTTCAAGATTTCGGGTGATTTTCGTGAAATTGAAAACCAGCTAGTGGAATTTGATTCTTTAGCTTAGCTCGGTCTGTTCTAACAGATTTAGGACTCTAAACCATTGCTAAAAGGATGTAAATTCCATTGCTAAAGGGGTTATGTCCATGAGAAAATAATGATTTTGAATAAACTCTAGATTGATGCAAAATGAAAATGATTTCTGATCAAAAGCACACAGAATCGAATTCATTTCAATATCTCTGCTGATTAAATTCCACAAAGTGCAGAAAAAAATTTCTGTCAACGTTTATGTTCGGATTAGCGCTGGTAACAACAGGATTAGCGCTCGAGCGAACATTTACAAAACCTGCCATTTTTTACATTTTGAACTGTACTAGAGGAAGGGGCTATAAAATACCAATAAAATCTTTTAGTTATTTCATGGTTTTGGTCATTGAGTTGATGTGGTTATGAGGAATGGGATGGGTTCTGGAGGAGCGAGATGCGGGGAGAGATCTATGAATGGGAAAGATAATTGGTAAAGGACAAAAACTTAATGGAGCCATGAGAGGGGCTCAATAGGACGAAAAATAGTAAAAGAGGGTATAGGCTGCTAGTAAAAGTATACCCTTGAGCAATCTGTACGAAAAGGTTTAAAATATTCAGGGATTTATTCAAAATAGAGAGAACTGGAAAAACTCCCGTCAGACTCGAAGAAATCGCAGAATTTTTGACGATAACCTAGCAGACATTGCACAATATAAACTGCTGCTAAGAATATTCTCGAATTTATTTCATGCCAAAAAGTTCAGAAATTGTTGAAAGATTACCATAGAGGAAAATGATCACGCTAGAAAAGGTCTTTATTCTGGAAAAATCACGAATTTTGGGCTTCAAAACACTGCACTTCTTGCAGAATCAAATGGAACTAATCGATACTGATCGATATGATCAATAAACAACAAACAAGCAATTGAATTGTGCTGAACATCGCTTGATAGCTCAAATGACTGACGCCTGAATGCTCCGTGGTGATGCTGGTGGTGCTGGTGATGTTGGTGTGTAGCAACACCGACAGCGCGGCTGTGGTGTCTCAGGCGCGGCAGCAGCTCCCTCTATTACACACTGATCGCTTCAGGCCTCGTGCCTACTCAACTCTTCAATCCCCTTATAATTACGTAATTGCACTACTTGCTTTCCGTTCATAGTCTTGGACCTCCGGCAATTATCGAAATCTACGCTACGCTTATAAATTTCCATGTGTTAAAAGAGATAGCAGCATTCCTTGGAATTTTCAGTTTTCAGAAATCTCAAGTACGGTTCATTTTTATAATCGTGGCGACTAGTCTAATTGCGGTCTTTGCACACACAGGAGCGTAAAACACCTCTATAAACAGGCATCACCTCATTGCTTAGCTCAGTCACTTTCAGTGTCTAATATTATCATATGTAAGCAGAATAACCATTTGAGTATCGAAAGAAACTAAGAAATGGGAGTGCGTGCGTGTCGCGCGCGGTCGCGAAAATCGTCACAATTTCTCGAATATCCTATAGCTTCCTTTATGTGCTCATTTGTGGGAAGTCCTCTGAGCCAAATAATTTCGGTTGCTTTGGAAGCTCGTAGAAATGTTAAAGACAAGTTTTTGTCCACTATTTGTTAGTTCAATAAGCATTAGGATACACTCTGCCCACGTACGATTTTTCTCCAAAGAAGGGCATTAAGAATCAAAGTACCATTTCCTCGTGCCGCGCAAATATGAGAAATTTCGTTTTCTCAATAGGGAAGAAATAGCGAATAAAAATTCCTATTGTTGTTCGTTAAGCGGAAGTAACTTGTGCGTATCCAGAAATCTAAACCTTTTCCGTTACTGCTTAATAGAAAATGTTTGTAACAGTATAAGCCTGAAACCTTTTGATTAATGTTACTCTTCAATATTCATCACTTCTAAATCTCGGAAAAAATGTTTGAAATAATTAGTGAATGAATTCAGAAGAAAAGTGTAATCCCATAAATTATGAATACACATAACTGCAAAAAAAATGCTACAGTCAACCCTCGAACTTGCGAAATTCTTTAGTGTACAACAATAAAAAGTAGGACTAAGTCATCGTCCTCATCCACCGCTATGGCAAATCGAGAATTTTTTCTGATTTTTCTGAGCAATCGCAATCTTTCATCTCTAAATGAAACAGTGCAGCCCTTCCACTATCTGTGGCAATATTCTTGCAAGATCAGACGCTTTGTAAAAGAAGCTGGAGCAACCAAACAGGGCTATATTGTTCACTTGTATACAAAAAGGAAACGCAAATCATCATTATGATTATTTGAAGTGGTTTTTCTCGAGAAAAATGGAAATGTTCTTTTTTCTAAGCTTTTTCGCTCATACAACTGTTCTAATTTAGAAATTAATGTTAACGATCAACTCTGAAACTCGAACAAAGACTTCAAACTTTTCTAGATTTTACACAGCCTTCGAAAGCTTTTTGGCACTAATGATGATGAGAGTTGATTTGAACTCAAAATCACGGAATCAGCTGCTATGACTGCTCGGCCTCATTTTATCAAAGGACTCAGTTTTATCTGCAAAGTTCGCAGGGATTGTAAATATAATTTTTTTTACAATATTATCCTGGCCTTTGAAAGTTCTGGAAACGTTACAAACGTTACAGTATCTCAGCGATTTTTAATTTATTTTGAGACAAACAAAATTGGCCAAATTTTCATACTTTGCTTTTTGAAACAAAGACGTTGAAATTGTGCAAAACGGATTTTTGAACTGTTTGTCTTCGAAGCAATGTATTCGTGCTCATACATTCAATAAATAACATCACTTGATTCGCATCTGAGATGAGCAAATTCTAGAAGGAATCTCAGATAAAATGTTTCATCATCGCTCCTTATTTTGCTTACAGAGTGGTCAGTTTTTGGAATAAGTTAAGTTATAAATCGATCGTTCGGCTCCCCAGTATACGCGGAACAACCTCAACAGTGTTTCACAAAGATTTTCATGTAGAGGATCAAATTACAGAAAGTACTAACGATTGGCCAAAGCAAAGCTTCAGAAATCAACATACTTATAATTTCACATAAAGCTCTTTGTTCCTTCTTATGAAACACTCAAGATATTTTTTCTTTCCTTCTCGACAATCGGCTTTCTGTATAACCATAAGTGAGATTTGTAATTTGATTAGTAATGCAAGAAGGATTATGCGGTAAAAGCTAAGACAGTGTTGTTTACAAATATCACGTCTATTGCGCAATATTCATCGTAAGTTTTTTCTTTAGCTCTGACTTTTGCTTTCAGGTCTGAGCAAAAGCTTCAAAACTTACCTCTGATGAAACTAGCATTTCCTTCAAAAGTTACGACTTAAACAACTATAATGGAACAGATTAATCATTCAAACACATATAAAGGTTTGATTTTCCATAAGGGTTCAATTAAAAAATCATGAAAAGCAAAAAAAATCAAGCAGAAACAAAATCTAGCAGAAACATTTTCAACAGCATTTTTGTTTAACAAAGAAAAATAATGTAGGTATTAGCTGGAATAGCCGGCTTCGTTTGGTTCTTGTCGATATCCTAAACTCAATATTTTGTGCCTTTCTATGCGACATTTTTAAACTTTTGTTTGGAAGTTTATACTCCTAATAATTCCAGGGCTGGGTACGAGGTGGCTTTTTGAAAATGCAAAAAACGATGTTTCTTTTGACTATCGCGAATTTTTACGAAGTCTCCTTTGACGTTAAACTCTAAACGTAAGAAAAATACTCAAAAACGAAACGTCGACTAAAAAAAACTTCATAACTTTTGTGTCTTTTCGGCCTTAAAAAGGATACCAGTTTCGCTTTTTTGTTTCAAAAACGATGTCCAGCTTGCTTACAAGTCCCCTCCGCCGTTCTCGGAATAAAATAATTCTTGCTTAAAATGAAGTACTGAATTGCTGAGTATTACTCTAGTGGAAAAGCATACAAATGCATCTACAGTTGTGACAGTGGAATGTGAAAAATTTCGGCGATTTCGCCGAATTCGCCGAATTCGCCGAATTCGCCAATTTCGCCGATGTCGCCGAATTCGCCGATGTCGTCGATGTCGCCGACTTTGCGTCTTTTCGTCATAACTCCCTTCGTTCTCAATGGATTTCAAATTTGAAGGCAGATTTGGATTCAGTAAGAGTTAAGTTTGAGTAAGTTTGACGGTAAGTGGTTCATGTATATTTACTTAGTTCACGCACTCCTTTCTCTTTTTTCCATTACAAAAAAGAATATGGTTTTCTGCTGGAAAAACTCAGCAGAAACTGTTCCATCAAACGCTCTTTTCCTTAAACCTTTGCCTACATTATGCGCCGAAATACACACTCTAGAAAACACCACCACAGGATGCAACGGATTCCTACCATGCACTTGCCGTGAAAGAGCCGATTACAGCAGTTCATTATATGAAAAGATTCACCTCGGCGAGCTGAATCCAAATCTGCCTTCAAATTTGAAATCCATTTAGAACGAAGGGAGTTACGACGAAAAGACGCAAAGTCGGCGACATCGGCGACATCGGCGAATTCGGCGATATCGGCGAAATTGGCGAATTCGGCGAATTCGGCGAAATCGCCGAAATTTTTCACTTTCCACTGTCACAACTGTACAACACTTATTAAATAGGAGAACAGCCAAGAGCCGTTATAGGCGACAGGCAAAATGCAATAATTTCAATGCAAATTAAGTCAGAAATGCTGAAAATACACAAGAGCGCTCAAATATATGTGGAACCTCTCCACAGAATGGGCAACGCATGATTTCTTTTAATGCGAATGTGAACTGGAACATCTGGTTTGCATACGTCAAACAAACTCTTTGCTCAAGTTTCTTGCGCCATTGCATGATGGATTGCATCGGTAATCTGGAAGTGGTATGATTAAACAAGTGCAAGAAACTAACGTTGCTCATAATCTATTCAAATAAGCTTCTGTGTGAAGAGCATGAAACATGACTAGCCTCCCTTACAAAAGTAAACTCAAAACTTTTATCTTCTTTTTCTCTTTGGAAGAACTTTTGGAGTGAAAAGATGAACAGGGTTGAAGGGACAGGGAAGAACTCCTTTAAAGGCGTCGCTTCCGTAAGCTACTGGTCCTTTTGCTCATACCGTCGCCTACCATGTGAGGATCGGTAACCCGCTGAAAAATCTCGAGCAAGAGGTCACAACGCCCCTCAGAGGTCTGCCCGCCCCACCTAGCGTTTTTCCTTGGCAGTTCACATGGCAAGCGCAATCTATACTCATACTGTGTAGTGGATATGCTTGCCACTCAAGAAGTGGACTGCTCACATCTGACTGAGCTCGCTTCTGGCATCCTTAACAAAACCGTAGGAGGACGAGATTTTCAAGATTCTCGTGCTAATAACTCCATATTTGATCAGGTTCACAAAAAGTGGGAATGTCAAAATTCTTTTAGTCAAATATCAGGGGACGTGCCACTGACATTTTTAAGTCGGTATGACCCAGATGGGATGTAAGTGTTCTGTCTCGGAAATGCATAGATAATGCTTCATCAAAACTTGGTAAACGATTGGAATACATCTGTAGGAGCTCTTGTCAGTTTGGTCCATTGCTACTCTATAACATATTTACAACAGGTATAGCGTAGAGAAACCATTAATGAGTTCAAACTGCTTAGTGCGCATACTTCGAACTGCTCGGTGGTGCAACGAAGAGTACCCTAATTTCACGCGTATAAGGCGCGGTAAATTTTTTTTCCAAAATCGACCAACCCAGACGCGCCAAAGGACTTTACAATCAAGGGACCCTATAGCGTGCTGTATGTTGCTTGAGAGAATCGTGCGATGTAAAGATTTCCTTCCGGGATGCAGTGAACCGCTGAGCGGCTCGCTTGAAAATTCGAAAAAGTGCGCCTTATACGCGTGAAATTAGGGTATTTGCTCATCAAAAAATATCGAACTAGGAATTTTGAGTAGACTGTTCTACTCATTGATTCATTGATTTTTCGCCTTTCGTCTCGGAAAAGAAGCAAAACTGTTTTTTTACACTACCAAGCTGATGATTAATATGACTTTCCGTAATTTCGCGTCG